TTCGATATTTTTTTTTTCTCTCTTTGCTTTTCAGCCTTTCGACCAACACAAAAATCGTCCCCCGCAAAGATTGAAACCGTACATGTCACAGTAAGTTTAAATATATTCTTTATATTTTTATTAATAATAATTTCAATAATTTTTCGATCGATTTTTTGATAAATTTGTTTACGAAATATTAAAAGAGATCGGAAAATTTGCAAATATTTTTTTAAATCCTTCGTTAACGAATAAAGATACTTGCCAAATTACGAGTGATTATTTGAATCATATTCAAATTGTTCACAGCGCTCTCAAAGAATCGGGATACGAGAGTGATTCGACGCTGGTGTTTCGTCGCAAGGAGGACATCGGTCCGTTGAGTGAACTCGAGCAAAGATTGGCCTACAAAACGGTCCAAAGTGGTGGCGACGTGCCACTTCATGGCCTTCGTAAACCAGCCCCAGAACGACCGAAGGGTGAGTGAGATCCATTTCAAATTGTACGAAAATTATTCTTACGTTCTCTGTAAACACTTTTTCTTTTCTTTTTTTTAATTTTAATTTTCTCGATCGTTCGTTGTTTGAATTTTTTTCAACAGGCATGCGTGCACAGGATCGATCGATTGCGCCTAAATTTTGTTTTTTTACGTATCATATTTGATAATATTAATTTACTAATTACTAATATTGTTTGTGTTTTCTTTTATATATATATATATATATTAAATATCTGCATGTTTTTGTGAATTTTCGTTTTTTATTTTCAAGCTTCGAAGCATGAGATTTTTTAATTTTTACGAACCGTCTGCGACGTTTGTTTTTTAACAGCATCGAGATCACGACATCGTTTGGCATTTGAAATTGATGAATTTCTTTCGAATAAACTTTTATTTGTTTCAAAATTATATTATGTTTATTGAATATCTTTCCCCTAACACAATATACTCGCAATAATTATCGATTATATATTCGTATAATTTCGTTTCAAAATTATCAGATTAAATAAAATTCGACTTTCGATAATTTACATTCCATCTCACTTGAATAATGCATCGAGTGAAAAGTACGAAGCACATTATAATACCAACTATCTGCTAGCCAAGATGTCCAACTGCAGCTTGTACACCTTATTTTTTTCTCTTTCTTTCTCTTTCTCTCTCTCACGATTATCCTTCGTAGCTCTTTAAGTTATTCACCGCACCGCCTCGCCTCGGTATCTATCGATATTGGTGTGCGATTTAATTCCCTTACCCCGTAATACGATGCACAAGTACATACCACACGCAATCCAAGAAGACTCTCTTTCGATGTTCACTGCTCTGCGCTGGATTGAAATGAAGCAAACAAAATAATAATGAAAAAAAAAAAAAAACCAAAACTCAATAAAACAACATCACCAGCTTGAAAGAAAACTGCTCCACTTTCTTCGATATAACTCTTGTTGTGGTGAGAGGGTTCCAGGGAACGGTACGCAAAGAGACGAACAAAAAAACACCAATCGAAACATTTTATCCACAGACGAAACTGGCCTCGAGTATTTTCCTATCTCGCCCACATTGACACGGATCCGTGTACACCGGAAAAACGGCTCCTCGACCACCAAGTGTGCCGCCGTTTTGTCGCGATACGAGAGCCCGTTAATCGAAAGTCGAAACGCGACAGCCAAGAAAATGGACGTTCGATCGACAATTGTTTCGAGGGCGAGGTCTTTAAGAGACATTGCTCTCCATGATCCACGTGAGGCGACGGTATCTAGGCCACCGTCCCCGCCAAGAAGACAGTCTTCTAGGAATAACAAGACTCTCAAACTGTATGGAAACGCGAAACGTCAAACTGTACAGCCCTTTAAATCGAGACACAAACAATGTTTCAAGGAAGAGGCACGCTCCAACGTTGGCACGCTCGGAGAACGATTCCACGGAAATTTGGACAGATGCGGGAAGAAAAGTCGCGAGAGCGTGCACACTTGTTCGTTTCGAACGTCATCTAACGGCCCGACAATACCGACTCGTTCGAAAGTTTTGACACCGTCGTGTAAGAAGACGGAGGACTCGCGCCTGTCGCAAACTTTGCCCGACCCAGCTGGGGAGAAAAGTTTCTCGGCAGCCAACGGGGGCAGAACTCGGATTTATGGGGACAGTTCGTGCAGGCCTGGCGAATATCCCGTCAAATTCGAGCCGAAACGCGATAAATCGTCCTCCATTTTGAAAATGTCCTCCAAGTATGTGTCGCCCTCTGCGACAAAATCGACGAAAGAAAAGTTGCAATCTGGGTCGAATGTCGGTAATGCAGTTTCTTATTTGAGGAAAACTAACGCGAGCAGAAGGCGGTTGACGCGGAAGGAACAGGAAGAGTCATCTAGAAGATTAGCCAGATCGTCGGTCGATCTCTCTTCGATGGAGAGTAGGAAACGTTTGCTGAATTGTAGAGAGAAAAGTGGGAGGGATGTTCGCACGACAGTGCTGCCGTCTGGAACGCTTGTCAAAAGCTCGACCATGTTGTACTCGTCGAGTTCGAGCAATGGCGGACAGAGGCCAGTCCAGGACAAGTCTTTGAAGGTAGTCGTGACGGTGTCGTCCAAGGGACAGGAGATTTTGAGGAAACCTTTGGACTCGATTTCGGCCGCAAAGTCTACCTCTTCCTTGAAATCATCTTCGGCTACGTCTTCGCCATCGGTCGTACGTAGAACGGTGTTAACGGATACCAAGAAGCCTGTAAGAACGATAGTCGGACGGTCTGACAAGATGGGTTCCAGCAGAGAGTTTACATCTTCCTCGGAGGCGATCGGCGAATCGAGTAAAAAAAAGGGGCAGAGACCTCACGTTATCGTGAGATCTCCTGCTAGGAAGCTGGAAACTATTCAAATTAATCCTGACAAGAAGAAGATAGAAACGAAGAAGAAATCGAGAAAAGTGGAAAATGGCGATACTGCGAGGATAAAGAAACTGAGGGATAACGAAATGATTTTAAGCGACGGAAAAAGTAACATAGAGAACGAAGAGCCTAATATCAGGAAGATACGTAAACCCAAACAGGACCAACGATCTTCGTCGTTGAGCGTAGAAGAGATAAAGAAGCATGGCGAAGCCACGCGTTCCGACACATTTTTTCAAAATCTCTTTTTAAGATCCATTTCTTCCACCGTTTCCAGTGAAAATGTCCCTTCGAGAAGATCGATCGTCAGCGAACGAGCCAGAATGTATCAAGAAAACAGCAGAGAAGGTAGTAAGTCAGAGCCATCTTTGAAGAGTCTTAGCATCTACTTAGCCCACAAGCGACCGGTATCTAACTCCAAGTTCAAAAACTGGGAGAAGGAGAGTGTTTCTTCCAGAAGTTCGAGCCCGTACGGGGTCAGTTGGCCTGGCAGAAGCATATTTCAAAAGGTGAGCAAATTCGACAGTCTTTTAGGCATCGAGGATTTTGGATCGTCGACCACGTTGCGCAACAAAAGTCCAGACTCTGTGAAAGAGCGTTTGAAGGAGAGGAGTTTGAGCGAGCCACCTTTGAAGACCTTGTCCGAGTGTTCCGACTCGAAGCACTCGTCTTCACGCGCTTCTTCCCCCTCTTCGATTAGATCACCAGCCTGTAGACGTATACGTAGCTTGAGACAGGAAAAGTCAGATGGTGCCATTGTCGCGAAGAAAGTTAGAGCCAGGAGCGCTGGCGAAGCAGAAGAAAAACCAAAATTTGGATCCAATTTGTCTCTGACCAGAAGCACGAATTCGCTTTGCCCCTCGCCCATCGATCGCGAAGAATATCATCGGTATTTAATGGGTATGTTGCACGATAGGAGAAGATCAGAAAGATACAAGGAATTGCACGACTTCTATTCGAGTCTAGAGAGGTTGGGTGAATTAGAGAGAACGTTTTCTTCAACCGATTTGAGGCCAAGAATGAAAAACGAAGAAATAATTGATTACGATAGATGGAGGAAGGTGAGATCACAGGAAAAAGCTGAGGTTGAATTTAGTACTTTGTATGGAAAGTTAAAGGCGGTTCAGAAAGACAAAAATTTTTTGTTCAGCACCAAGGATATCGGCAAGTTCAAATGGAACGGTGATTGTAGCTTGAGATGTAAAGAACGATCGGTGGAGAATATTATTCAACATTTCAAGAAACTGCAATCCGAAGGAAGCGAATTGGATTCTTCGAAAAGAAGAGAAATATCGTGGAGGAAGGACACGTATAAACCCCTTTGGCGTGGCACGTCTGTGATAAACGTGGCTAGCACGATGCAAGAAAAAGCAAATGAATCTAAAAACGAGAAATCTTTGGATCATTTGGATCATCCATTATTGCAAAGAAGCCTTGGAGGAAGTAAAAAGTTCTGGAGCAGTTTATCCATCGAGCAAGTAGCCACTTTAAAAAAGCAATTAAACGAAATTTATGGCAGCGATAATTTACAGAGATCTGTACCATCGACATCCTCCGAAATAGGCGAGCATAGATTGGAAAAGAAAGAAGGAACTGATAAACAAGATTCTCTGTCGAAGTACGAAATTATCGTTCCACCCCAAATCGACTCGACCGATAAAGACGATGCTAAGGGCCTTCACGTGCGATGTCACTCGATGATCACGTCTGATGTTTCTCCGAGTGATCAGAAATCGTTCACAGATCGTGCAGAATCGTTGAAGAGAAGTGGTTCTATTAGCCAAGGTAAGAGTATAGAAAGATCGGAATCTGACAAAAGTTTAATCAGTGTAACGCCATCTATGAGCGAATTAGAGAAGAAGAGGCTGTCCGTGACGATCGGTAAAGAAGTTCTGGACAAAATTTCGCAAAGAAGACTGTCAATGCCATTGACAGCTCCTCGCGAGACTCGAGGTAGTATAGCTGCTGCTCTTGCTGTTAAAAAAATACCAAAAATAACACGTTCTTCGACCGCACCCAGCGTAACTAGCACGTCACCTAGGAGTTGTTATTCTTTAGAACCACAGAACGCGGAAGATTCGTCGAGAGTGAAAGAGAAGAACGATTTTCTGCTAGTCCTGACACCGAACAACAAAAGTCCATCAGACAGACGCAGAGTAGAGAACGTTTTAGAGGAGTGGTCGAAGAAACCACCTCTTCTGGCAATCGCGATACCTGACACGCCTAATCAGACAAAAATTATAGCCCCTAATTCAGGGAGCGAAGGAAACAGCACGACGGAAAGCTCCGAAACGTCTGTGAGAACTGTCATTCAACGAAATATAGAATCTCAAGATGTTCCAGCGAAGATAGAGTTTTTCGAGAACGTGGACAAGTGCGCGGATACCCAGTCGGATCGTGGAAAAATAAATAAAAAGGAACAGACGAACAAACGGAAACCAGGAAGATTATCCTCTTCTCAAAGCTTTGCAGATTTAAGAGAATTATTTGGCGAGTCAGAGGCCGGTAAATATGCGTTGTCGGTGTGCAGGACACGCTCGATCTCGCCGAGAGGAACGTCTGACGAGCGAAAAGGAAACAGCCCTGCTCGGGAAATGGACACCAATACACGACCGCACTTCTGTTCACGCGACCGTGAACACGATAGGCCTCGCAGCGTCAGTCCGTGTCGCGCAACCACTCGATCGAATTCGTCCTGCAGTCTAGAGAGCATTTGGCTGCGTAGCACTTCACCCGATCCGGACAAATATTGGCGTGCCTATTTGAAACTAGTGAAAAATGGCACGGTGAGACGGCTCAGAGCCAAATTCGAAAGCGCCGAAGATCTTCGTACCAGTAGAGTTAGAGTGCTTCCAGCGCCTAAAAAATTTCAAAGCGATCCCGAACTGGCGAGATGTCTTCTGAGAAAGGTGGACGAGGGTAAATTAAAACCTCACGAGTTCGCAGATGTGGCTTGGTTGAGACGGAAATACGAGCCTCGAAGAGGAAGAACGCGTCGTAGAGGAGAATCACCGCCGATTCCGCGTGTGCCGTTGAGAAAAGAGGATCTATCCATGCCTCACATCGACGTTATCAGCAAGACGGCGGAATTGAAAGATTCGTCGGCTGTCACGTCCACTATTACGAATTCCAGAAAGGCAGAGACTAAAGAACTGGAAGCGAAGAAATCAGTTGGTCGGATGAGGAAGAAATTTGAAAAATTTGCTACGCAAAAAACTTCGATTCTGGGTGAAATGTTCACTTCGTCGCCAGACGTGCACGAACTGAGAGATATTGCACCTTATTTGGCTGGCCGTTGGGTGGCGCACAGATACCCTAGTAGAAGGGATAACATGCGTTCATTGTCTTCGCCGCCAGATCTCGCTGGTAGACCGTGTTCCGCCTCGAAAAGCGAGGTTAACTCTGGATCCACGAAAACGCAGAGCAAGGAAGGAGGTAAATTAATTGGAAAAGTGCGAGGTGTCTCGTCGAAGGGACCATCATCGATTTTGAAACAATCTGATGGTGATCAAACGTTTGATCCTGATAAGCATAGACCGAAATTTAGATATCAACCACCTCCTCCGCCATCCTCGCCAAATGTTCGACGAAAAGCCACGTGTTGGTGGTCGCCGATTCCTATCTACACGGCTCGACCTACCGTCACTTTCGAAGGTCTGAATTTTCATAACATAAATTAAAATCCATCCTATTTTTTGAATTTTTAATTATATTGTTGTTATCGATTAATTGATTAATTGAAATTAGAATGAGTTCAAAATTTTTTAATTTTTTAAAATTTTATTTAAAATTTTTCGATAGAGAAAAATTGTGAAATTCAGCAACAAAATATGAAATGCATATTACAAATGAAAGAATATATTTTAAAAAATATATTATTATTTTATTGTAATGAACAATGAGAATTATTCATTTCGTTGTCTATCGAATAATCGATTAGAGAAACATCTAGCAGATATTTTTAAAATTTTAAAAAATTTTTCTTTTCTTCGTATTTTTTTAACCTATTGTTAATTTATTCAATAAGTCTACATCGTTGCAGTTAAAGAAAAGTCAACAAATTCCATCGAAGAGAATCGAAAAATCTCTATCCTTCTCTTGTCTTCGCATTGTACTCGAATGATTTTCAAAATACAATCCCATTGTCGACCGTTTCTTCTTAATCGCATCGCTGGAAAAGTAACTGGTTGCGATGCACCAATATCGATTGATCGCCGAAGCAAAAGAATCCATCCCATTAACCCAAGAAATAGCGTTCAATGTTCACAGTAAAACCACGTTGCGAAGTTATCGTTTCATGATAATCGTAGTACGGCTAATTTATTATTTTTCCTTTTTTTTTCGGCTCGTCCATAGAATACTCGAACGCACCCCCGCCGCCGCCAAAATCTCAGCACTACAGAGACGACTGCCAAGGTAATGCCATATGCTAATCATTTTCTTTTTTTTTTAATCCATTTACTTTTCGATTCTTCATTACTCTTTCATTTTCATATTTTTTTTTGTTCCCATTTAATAAATTATTTATCTAATGCAGTGTTTTTTATAAGTCATGATTCTCAAAGAGGTTAGAAAAATCATGTATACTTATTTTTATGTGCAATTATATAGAAAGATCGCATCGTCGATTTAAAATCGATCCTTTAAACATGATAAATATGTCGATACTCTCATGATCGACAAATATTTTAATATTTTTATTCTAGTATCCAAAATATTTTTAAAATAATTTAGTTTAAAAAACTAAATATTTGTTTAAAAAAATTGCAATTTCTTTCGTAATGTACAAATTCATTTTTAATTGGTTAATACATACATATTTAATATTTTATTTTTAAGGATTTGCATAAAAAATTAATATTATAAATTTATTTTAATATTACGTTTCCAAAAATGTTGGAAAACATTGCATTAACAATTTCCAAATTTTCGAAAAAAGAATCCCAATTTTTAAGCGATTTTCGTTTCCCCCTTTTCCTTCTATATTTCAGCTATTTGAATATTTTTTCGCGATATACCGCTGCTTGAACGAAACAGAGCATGAAATTTGCTCGTTGTGCATGACATGAAAAGCAATCGTTTACATTAGAGGAAGTGTACGATTGTTTCGCAACGGATCGAGCAAGATTCGATTACGAGAAAAAATCGCAGATGAGGTTAGGTGGCGTGCAAGCATTGTTACATATATGTGCATGATCGTTCTTAGTTTGAAGGTATAACCTGTGCAAGTGAGGTAACGAGATTTATCGTAAAGATTCGATTTTGCATTTAAATTATCGTCGAAAAATAATAATAAATTTATTGCGCGAGTAAATATTAATTTATTCAGTTTATTTAAATGTTTGGTGTAATAAATATATGTGAAGCTTTGAATGGATTTACGAAAGAGCAAGTGATAAAATAAAGGTATTTCATTGCATGTTTATTTAGTTTATAATTAAGGATTATAATCGATAAATAATTAAGTACAGATCTGGGCGAAATTTGTTTCAAATAATAATTTCAAAACAATAATTTTTAAATAAATCTATTTCGATGAATAATTATATTTCAATTGAGGTTATGTTCTTTATTTTGTCAATTGAAGAAATATAATATATGTAAAACGAATATTAGGAAAAATAACAAATCAAAGAATTGATTATTGAAGAAATAACGTTTATTTCTTAATGGAAAATTCATTCCTGAAATAACATTTCAAAATATTAAACAATAATCATAATAAGTATATAATAATGTTAATTAGAAATTATAATAATATAAATATTTAATGCTGCTGATTAAGAAACTAGTTATTTTTAAATCAAATAATTTATTTCGTGAAATATGAGATAAATTATTACTTAAATAATTTTAAAAAAGTAATTCTAATACGCCCAGGTCTGATTGTATGAAGCATGTGTAATATTGTGATTTAATTATGTGATATTAAAATTTTAAATATGTTTAAAATATTACAGAATGAATTAATGAGATTTTTAAATATATCGTTTATTATGTTTCACTACATGAATTAACATGGGAATTAATGGAATACAGTGAAAAGAGGGCAATTGAGTACAAAATAACGGTCGTGTTTTATCATTCAGTTAACCGATTGGTATGCTCCTCGTTTTGCAACCATACAAATACAAACCTTATTGCGCTCGATTAAGTGACTGATGAATTGCCAAGTTTGTTACCTGCAGTTGCGAGAAATAATAATACATCGAAAGTTGTAATAGACATTTGATTAACGGCGAGTTGAAAAAGTTTCGATGAATTATCGATACGTTCAAGTTGTGGAAAGTGTAATAATGATTTCCAATAACGAATTTCCTCTATTTGGAAATGTGATAAATCGAAGTTAATGTATAAAATTATTAACTCGATAAATATTGAGTGAAAATATAAAGAATAAAATTTTAATTATGTAATTATAATGGATTATCAATATTAAAAATTTAAAAGTTCGAGATTGAAATAAATATTATTTTTTAATCGTCGATAAAATTATCATTGACAGTATATATAAATCATTGATATTAATAAATTATTGAAATCGTTCGTGAACTTCGAATAGTTGGGGTGAGAGTTTGATAATAATGAAATTTAATATTAAAATAAAAATACATATAAAGATAAATATATCTAACAAGAATATTAAAATAATATTGAGATAAAAATATTTTACGAATATTACACATTACATATATGAAACATGTAATATATTTTTCCAAATAATTTTTATATACCATAAAATGAATTCCTATGCTTAATTATTTTCGTAAAATTCAATAAAATTATCATTGTTAACATATGCCGAGGATTATTTAAAATTCCTCGTATCTAAAATGTTATTTCACGAGTACGTGAACTAATCAAAATGCTTTCCACGAACAAAGAAACTGATAGAATTGTGTATTCACTGATAGAGAACAATTGCCACTTTGAAGTCAGGAAATTGTTCAAGTTGCCATATGTATAATCAAACAGCGACAATTTTAATATAGATAAAATACAAATTTATTTACAGAAAAAAAGAAAAATATTTGTCATAGAAAAAAATAATCGTTTCACAAGTTATCTATTATTGATGGAGACCAAAAATAGAACTGAACAAATAATTTTGTATCTGACATTTTTTCTTCTGGAATATACATTGAAAAAGATAAATTGTTTTCAAAATAAAAATAGAATTTAGAAGTCATATCGTGTGATATATGGAAAATTACAAAATTTCAAGTTGAAAATTAAATATATTTATTGTAAAAAATAAATCGATAATCTTTATTCTACATCAAACGATAATTTTAATATAATTGCAATACAATTATTTCTTCATTTTAGATTCTTAAAATATTTAATAAAAATTTTTATAGAATACGTTTATTTTTAGCCAAAATATTTCATGCAGCTATAAACGCATCGATATTAAAAATTTTTAAATATTGTAGATTTTTTTTGCAAAAAACCACACACATTCGAGTCCATTGATATATACATAACCATGCATATTTTAAGTTTGTTCTTCACTGAAATCATTTTCTTTTTCCATGAAAATTAAATCACTGTATAACACTGATATCGATTGTATACAGAGATTTATCTAATCTCTGATAAGCATTTATGTCAGCAAACCACTCCTTTGCGACATTTTTATAAATATAAATTTTTATAAATTCGAACGATGCTTTTCGTTTATTGCAACTTGTTTTTTTTTTTTTTTCAGTAAATAGTCTTTATCTCTTTGATCATAAAACTTAAGTGCAACTGAACACATAATGGAACAAGGAAATATTTGTGCAATGCGATAGATTATTGGCGATAACGAACATCTGCACATGAAATATTTTTATTATATAGAAAAATAGGAAAATTCTTTTCTTTCAAAATTGATTTGAATTTCTTTTTTAGAGATTCAAAGCTGAAAAGTTTAAAATGTGAGTATATTAGAGTAGTGCATTGTAATATTTTGATAGAGATAAAATAGTGACATTGACTTTTAGCATTCCAAGGTAGAAATTTGCATAAAGACCAAGTGTCAGAGGTTACTAGGATCCCATGCAAACATGAAAAGTCGATAGACGGATAGATATCTCGAAATTTGTGAAATTTTACGATGCATGTAATCTACGTATAAATTGAAAATTGTCCCAAATCTCGTATTCATAAAATATTATAACAATCGTCAGTGAAAGAGCTGCACGAGTGTGTGTGTGTGTATACGCATCAGATGTAAATTGTAAATGGACGTTGGGATGAGCATGAAAGGATATTTCCGTGCTCTGCTCGTATTAAACATGCAATTAGTTGCAAAATTGTTGCGAGTTATAACATAGTATATATAGTTTTGACGTTAGATGCGATAATTGCTACCTTATTCCACGTATGCTATAGAAAGAAAATAATATCGGCGAAAGTTGAGTTTCGTGCACGCAATTTCCAAATTTAATACAAAATTTTTATTTTTATGTGTTTCGACACTCTAAAATATAAAAATAATCTTCAAAATATTTTCCTTTTATTATCAACATATAACACTTTTTCTTTCGATATAATTCGTTCAGTAGTTATCGATAGATATTTCGTATTATAGGATGATAAAAGAAGAAGGATTAAAATTTTTTAAATCGTCAAACTTTTTTTTTCATCATTCAATATTACAGTACCCATTTTTCAAATTCATTCATGTAATTATAAGAAAAAGAAAAATATATTCTACGTAAGAAAAACGAAAACATTTCAATGAAATTTTTAATCATTGTATATAATTCATTAAATTTCCACAACAATCGACTATTCATTCACATAATTACAAAAAAAAAGAAGATAGAAAGAATATTCCATGTAAAAAGAAACGACAGTCGAGGAAATTCTCATGAAAGCATCACTGAAAGACGTACATTGCGTTGGTCATGCACGCAGGTCTGACCTTCGTGGAGAATTCGAGTGTTTGGTGGCAAAAATACGAATGACAGAAGGAAACGTAGAAGGGGAAAGGAGCGCGAAAAGCAGCGGCGAATTCGCATTACCGACAGACGATCGCCGCGCTCGTTTCAAGGCAGAGGCCTCCTCGTAGTCGAAAAGAATTACGCGACATGCGGATAATTTATTGGAACGATTATGTACATATCTTGTCACGTTTCTTCCGTTCATTATGTTGTCTTTCGTCGTGGCGTTCGTCAGTGTAGAGAAATTGTGAAGATTAAAATCAATTTTGGTTAAATTTTTTCGAAAAATTTGTTTTGTCATTCGGTGGAATCTTTGATAAATATCTTTTGAAGAATATCGTGAATATTGAAGTTACGTGTTTTCAAAATCAAATTTAAAAAATATCGCGAGTGTTAAAATTAAGTGTATTTCTTTCAACGAGTTATTTAGAGATATATCGAAATATATCGCGAAGTAATATTTTCTTTCGAAAAATATCGCAAATATTGAACGTTTAATTTCAACGAAAATATTGTTCGTATCGAAGTTATAATTTTTCTAGAATTTACGAAGAATTGAAAGAAGATATGATCGACAGTTAAAATGCATAGATAAGTGAAGTGAAAGTGTAGATGTCATGTGGAAAGTGTAAAATGTGATTTCTGAAAATTTTTTTTATATATTTTGATTACGCAATACGAAAAAGTGAAATTAAACGTGGTGTCGAATTATAAATAAGAATACGAAATTTGTTTAGAATACGGTGAGTCGAAAGATGACACGAGTTAAAAAAAAAACATGTGCAAGGTCATCGAGGAACAATGTCTCGAGAGTTTAATCAGTCCATGTCTTGAATCTTAATTGCGAATTCGTGCGATATAGTGCAACTTTTCGAAGCTTCGTATGACAAGTTTATACAGGCAAATTTAATGGCAATCACGTGACAAAATTATGTTCAATTTTATCCTCTCTTACACCTACATCCATAAGATAATACGTACGATCCAAAGTGAATTTTTTTTATTCGATTCTTTAAAAATTATTTAAATTCAAATTTATAAATTTTTAAGATATTAATAATAAAAATATTGATTTTTATTATACGAGATAAAGCAGAATATAAAATAGTTTTCTTCAATTATACTCTTTAAATGATCAAATTAATTCAAAATAAAAAAATTAATTTATTCTTAATATCACATCGAACTTTAAAAATAATTTCTCAATTCTTATCTTAAAGTACAAAACAACGATTTCAAAATCTAATTGAATTTATTATCTGTCTTATCAAAAAAAAAAAAAATTGTAAGACTGATAAAAGAAATCCTTATCGATATCTTTCATCGTGGATCTAAATTTCATCACATTTCGAGCACTTTGCACCGCAATATCTCACAATTGTAAACAAGAAAAGATCTAATAAAAATTCCTCCGTTGCTAATGTCACAATTGTAATTCGCATCGACAATGGCGTCGCACGCAAATTCCCGTAGAAAAAAGCGACAAAAAGGGACGGTTCGTTGGAACGGCGTGTAATTCACGGTGAAATCGTTTCCCGATAAAAATGAAGCGCCTCTCGAACAAACGGTTCGACAACGTGCTGCAGGGTTGTTGCTCATTTGAATAGAATACCGGTTATGAGCGTGCAAGTAACATATTTCCCAAAGAAAGATCCCGCAAGTGAACGAACTAACCGTGTATCTCATTGAGTACGACTAATCCAAATAGAGTGTGAACGAGGGTGAAGTCTTTTTTTTTTTTTTTCCC